TATTTTTTTGTGACTATCATTTATTTTCTCTGCTCTAACTTGACCTATTTTTTTCAACGATACGTCAAATGACTACAATTCGTATCTAGTTGAAGATATTATCCTCAAAAGTTGAAAAAAATTCTAATTTATCAATGAAACAGTTACTTATTCCATGTACTCCATACAGACAATTAAAATCATTCTTATCTAATGTTTTCAAAATATTTATTCACGAATCAAGGTTGATATGACAATTTGATATCATAGGTTTCAAATACAAAATTAAATCATTTTACTTTGTAATTTAATTACTTTTTTACTCTATTTGTGTGTACAACTACTATAATATTTAAAATTTTTTGGTAACTTGTTGCTATATAAATAATTTCTAAAAAAAATGACTGTTAGTTTCTCCTGAATTAATAATGGATTTTTACAACTATAATCAAATTTTATTATACGCTCAATTAAGTAAATTTTTTTAACAACTTTGTTTTGATTGGTTCATTTAGTTAAAGCTATTAAAATGAATTAATTTCTGAATATTTCAATTGCAGAATCTTTTCAAACACCAAAAGTTACTAGAAAATTATTACTATTACTTCTATTTAAGTTATCTATTACCATAAAAATGCAAAAAAATATTGAGCTTTTCTGATAAATTTACAATAAATAGTAATTATAAAACTTTTTGACTGNTTTCTGATAAATTTACAATAAATAGTAATTATAAAACTCTCTGACTGCATATTAATCTTAACGATACAATTTTTTTAATTCTCATAAAATTTTCTATTTAATGATGTCGAATTCAAACTTGCCAATTGAGCTAAAAGTTATGATAAAATAAATTATTTTTTTTTATTATAAACATTCACAAAAATCAACTTTAAGCGATTAAAAAAATAGGTTAAATATGTCATTTTCCTTATTTTTAACACATTAATAATCAAAATCAGTATTAATATAAAACAATTTTTTTTTGTTCTTAATTATTTTTTTATATGTAAATACTTATTTTTGANTTTGTTCTTAATTATTTTTTTTTTATATGTAAGAACTATTTTTTAATAATAATAAAACTTAGATGTGATAGAAAAAATCTAATTGCACATTTGAAAACAACGCGAAAAGTTGATTTAGAAAAGTATATTTTTGCTTCTGATGAAAATTCCTTGTAGTCCAGTGCAATTATTTTTAGTAACAAACAGTTTTTATTGAAAATTATTGTATCAATAAATTTTTATACACCTAAAAGTAAAGCAAAATATAACTTCTTTATTGTTTTTATAATTTAAAGAGTGAATGAGTGGAGTGACTAGAGAAGATAGGATTAGGAACGAGCATATAAGAGGAAGTATAGGTGTTGCGTCAATCGTGGATAAGATGACAGAAAATAGACTTAGATTGTTTAGTCATGTTATGAGGAGAAAAGAACTGGAAGCTGTAAGAACAGTTATAGAAATGAATTTTGAAGGAAGAAGAGGTAGAGGAAGACCAAAAAGTAGATTGAGGGATGTTATTGAATGCGACATGAGGACAGCTGATGTGAGCGTAGATGATGTAGGAGATCGTGTCAAGTGGAAGTTTAGGATAAGGGTGGCCGACCTCAAGTAGTTGGGATTAAGGCGAGGAAGAAGAAGAAGAGACTTTCCAAAGATTTGAGATAATATATAGCTTTTAACGAACACTATATATAATCAATTTAAAAGATTACCTATGGGCCTTAATAACGTGCCATTAATTAATCAATCAGCCATGTGCAAAATTATGAGGTGCCTTAATTATAAAAATAAAATCTGTTACCTCAATGACTGCCAAAACATTTGATAATTATTAAAGTTCACTCAAACTTACATTAGAAGGATTCTCATACAATAACCTCAAATTAAAACCATCTAAAAGAAAATTTTGATACTGAGAAATTAAAGTTTTAAGAAACGTAATAAACTCATAAGGTATAAAATCTACCAAACAAGGACTAGAGTCAATAAAAAAATTTCCATCACATTTTAACATCAGGCAACTCCGTAGCTTTCTTGGTCTAGCAAAATATTTTTGAAAATTCTTTACAAACTTTATTAAACTTGCAAAGCCTTAGACGGATCTAATAAAAGGGATATTTAAAAGTAAACTCGATAAAATTAACTTAACGTACGATCAGGAAAAAGTTTTACAAGAACTAAAAAATTAATTAACTAGTAGGCCTCTTGCGCATTATAACGAAAACTATTAATTGATAATCGTAACGGACGTAAGTCATGACGGCCTTGGCATAATTTTGCAGCAAAAAGACGATAGCGACATAATTCTGATTGGGATAGTTAGCTATTCACATGCACAATTCTTATTAACTTGAAATAGTATTTTGTTTACAATACATTTTCTTTTATTATTTATTGCAATAATATTCCATTTTAAAACATAAATTTTCTCGATTTATTACGACCATTTTAAGTGCCAATCATACCTATTATCGAAGTAAGTGTATAATCAAACAAACAGGGTACTTGATATTTTCATTATTATATTAAAAATAATATGACATTTCTGGCTAGTTAGTTTTTCTTAAGCGCTTGTATATTTTATCTGTGTGGCGATGTAGGCAATTCTTTATTAACCCGACTTTTTATTAAAACGACTTAGGAATATATTATGAAAATTTAGACACTTTAATTTTTTCAAAAGATTCATAAAATCGCGATTTTTATGAGATTCGTTTACAAACTCAAAAATTATGTAATCATCCTAACAAGACATCTAATATATCAATTACCTGTCAAAATTACGACAGCATTCTCAAATTTAATTTCCTTGAGTTGGATAGACATTTCAATAATTTAATTCATTTAAAAGACAAAAGCAAAAGCGTGTAATTATAAATCTAATAGGAAAATTCTACTTTTGCATTCTAATGAAACTTTTTTCTTTATTATATGCATCTTTGATTTTGTTCAAACCTTATTTTGGAGCACCATTTTCTTCTGTCAAGCAAACTTTGTCTACTAAATCGTGAATACGTTTTTCTAGTTTTTTTTTATTTTATCTTCCATTCTATACAAAAATAATTACTTATAAACAAATAACTACATTCTATAAAAGATTAATCTCAGTTTACCTTTCTTCTTTGTTAAGTTCAGGCATAACGGTTAAATTTTTCGAAGATCATAACTCTCTGATGAATGTGACATATATCCTGCACCCCTTATTGCAGTAGCTGGTCTTACAATAATATTTAGAATTTCTGTTTGATTTTCTTTTAGTTACATTTTATCCTGAATTTATAAATCATAATTTAATATAAACCAAAAAATAAAATCTTGAAACAATTTTTATTTTTCGATTAACTAAATGGTTCATAGTAAATCAATTACTTAGTATAGGTGATCAATAAATAAAAAAATAGTTACCAAAGATGGGAACAGTGAAAACCCTTTGTCTTTCTAATTGAGTAACCAATATAACACTGTGAATGAATAAGATGTTTCACATCTAATTCATATTTTGAAAACAGATTACATCCATGTTTATGTGTATAAGTCAAATAATAATTACTTAATTAATTCAGTAAAAATAAAAGAACACTAAATAATAATAATTTTTATATTATTGTTTGAGATACAAATATATAAGAGTCGAACAACAATATTCCGAAGTAAAATGCAAAACAAAATTCAAGAGAAATTTATTCTAAAAGATCGAATGTTAAAATATCAAAATCTACATTGTGAACTTAATCCATTCAATCTGGCTACAATTCACAATTTCAAGTTTTACCAGTTATTCTATACTCTATTAATATTAATGGAATTTATTATAATCAACTGCTATGTGTTTATTGGATTTTACAATGTGAAAAACGATTTTTTTTCAACTATACAATTATTTATAAATGTAATATCAACTATTCAAATATATCTAAACAACTATATACTTTCGAAGAAATATGATGATTTAAGAAAATTATTGGATGCCACAAGTATCGATTTTTTATCTTCTAGTTATAAAGGAAAATATATATTTGAACAGAATGAATCTATATGTATGAAAATAATAAACGTATACAGTTTTGTATGTTATTCGGCGGTGTTACTTTGGATTCTTAATCCGTTATTTATAAGAGGATATCCTT